TACACCCATCCAGGGATGAATTGGTCCCAGCCGTTCTAACCAGGACAATACCTCAATGTGAAAAGCTGCTATAAGTCATGCTTTGGTATTGTTTGTAAGCCTGTTCACACTAAATGAGATGTGAGAACTACTGTTTACTACACTAACTACACATACTGCAAGACCATGCATGTTCATTTCATGCTACTTTCTGGATGATCTGATGTTTACTGAGTCACTCTTATTCAAAGAAATCTAAATTATGTATTTTAATTCACAACATAATGCATTTGTATACACTTTTAAAATTGGTTTAGATTATTATTTTATGACCAACTTTTTCTTTCAGTTGAAGTGCCCCAGTTAAGATGGTTCTACATTATTTAACATTCTTTTTGCAAAAAAAGAAAGATGATGATCAAGTTTTGCTGAAAGATATTTCAGGAGGTTTTTCAGCTCTTTATTTTAAAAGCCAGAAACCAGATGAAAATCTTCGGTTTCTATGAGTTGTAGTAGCTTGGCTGAACTAAATAGTGTGAAAACTAAAAGGCTGACCTTTATATGTAAGCAATAATTTGGATTTCTGTGGATCCTTGTACTAGATCCCTAGCTAGGATGAACTATATCCACTTCTGCTCTTATGGCTGAAACTGAACATCTAAGATAAAGCTGGAAAGATGTGGAAGTGTCAATTACCAACTTGGGATCTTTGCAGCCCAGCTGAAGCACTGTGATAGATTGGGGCAGTAAACTTGACAGAATGGTGTTTGTTAGAAGAAAAAGAATTATTGTTAGAAACTGGAAAATGCTGCAGCAGCAGAATAATCTATCCAAAATAAAGGGAAACGTCCACAGATCATTCTTAAAACCAAATGTTGGTACAATCTGCAAAATAGATAATGCTAACGAACACCCTGCTGGCACAACCACAGGCATTTTGACATACGCAATTTTTACAAATTGCTCTTAGAAAAAACAGCATTCAGCCTTCCTCTTGCTGAGCTCTCTTGGACTAATTGTTTTATCAATCCCTTTTTAAGGGCTGTTACTCTAATTATGGGTCTGTCCTCTCAGTGGATCATTTACATGAGGAGGTATTATGTCTTTATATAGCAAAGGTTTTTTGAGACAAGTCTAAAGTATTTAATCAAAAGTGTAGAGTGGGATATTAAAAGCACATAAGCATTTTTTTGTGCAATTCCTTGTTCAATTCCTTTTGAAATTGTTAAACCAAATGGACTTACTTTCTTAAAAAGAAAATCCATAAAGCTTCTAGGTCTGTCTGTTTTTTATAATACCTGAGTACCTATAAGCCTACCTCTGATGGGCTTATCAATAATTAATCAAGCAGCCAGAGTAGAACACAGAAAATTAATCCTAATCTTCATGTCACAAACCATCATAAATACATCCAATATCTGTCCGCCCAAGATCAGAGAAAATAACAAAGCCAGTACTGTTTTGTAGACCTCTGCATTCATTTTGCCCTTTTTTATGATTTTTCTTTCTGCTGTTTACAGTTGATCCAGTGTTCCCAGTCCATGGGGGAACAAATTACCCTTTTTTTCTTCTCTCTCTTCTGCACTTTTCCATTATTCTTCAAGCTGGGAGATAGCTTCATTCATAAGATGAAAGGTTTGTACAAAACTAGGTCAAATCAGCGTTCATCTTTTTAGCTCTTTTGCTGTGCTGTGCAGAACAAGTTCTGTTGCTACCTGACATCTCAGAACAGGGTGAGTTTCATTCCTAAAAGAGGATGCATTTAAGGGCAGTCTATCTTAGCACATAATTTCTATCCTGAGCCATTCTTGCAGAATGAGTGATTGATGTTGTGATATTCAAATAATCCTTGAAATAATGCTCTCAAAAAGTCTATTCCACACTTCTGTAAGAGATATCTTTTTTTTAGCTGGTCAAACTTGAGAAAATTACTCTGATTTTTAAGTGTACTTTCAACTTTGTCACTAAATATAAGCACTGTTTCTTCTTGCCTATTCTGCGTTAGTATCAAAGTCATAGCTTTCTGCTTGAGGATTAAATTACTCTTTGTATTTTATTTAAGTTTAATTTTTAAATTAGGGTAGTTACTAATATACCTACCATATGTAGTTTTGAATTCATCCAGCAGTCTTTAAGTTAATTTCCAATCACATTTTACTATAGTTTGTTTTCTTATAACTGGCTATTATCTTGTCTAAATCGGAAGATTTTCCTGAAGTTATATGTGGGATCCTCTCTGTTTCAATTATCTTATTTAAATTTTCTACCATTTCAATCTTCACTGTATGGCTACACTTCTGTTCACTTCTTTGTCATCTCAAATTCACGGGGAGCACACTGAATTCTCAGCTGTGGTTGCAGAGCCTGAGGGCAGTCAAGCAATTTGCAGGTTTGAGAGTGAAAACCTAGATTAAAGGTTTCTATTCTTTTCAGTGAGTTTTGATCTGTCTGATAATGAGCTGTATGTTAGTAGGTAAGATAGTACTATGAATGTGCAGCTTGCAAGTATATTTTACAATTCCTGAGGCACTGGTGTGTCTGACAATTAGAACTTAGGCCAAATGAGGTAGGCAGACTTCTAAGGACAGGCTGAGACACAAGCGAATTCATTTAGGTATTTGGTGGTTTTGGCATTCAAAGAAAAGTGTACAATATGTTAAGATTATGAAGAGGTTTCATGTTTTCTATACAGCCATTGAGTTAGTGCTTGCTGGAGATAGAGGCAACCAATGGATTTAATCAAGGTGCGCCATAAAATTCTGAAATTTTGAACAAGGCAAGTGTTACATTACCAACATATACTTAGGAAGACACACTGTTAAGAACAATAAGTAGGGAAATTGGAAAGAAACCTGGAGCTCAGTACTGTAGAAAATGAAGAGAATGGCAAGGATGCCTAGGTATAACAGCACGGAATAAAGACCTGTTTAAAATAGTAACAAATCTTGGGAGTGCTGTGCGTAAGCGGAGGAATCCTATGCATAGTTGTAGATATTGAAGAACATTTTCTTTCTCTTTAGATTTTGCAAAAGATTTCCATTTCATTAGAGGAGGCATTTGTATCTTCAGATGTCTCCCCATTCCCTGATGAATCCTGGGTGTTTTCCAGTCTCCCTCTGACAGTAGAGAGTGGTTTTCTGAGTCTATTCCTGGCATAGGT